CAGCCGGTTCAGTACCAGAACTGGGATATAACACTCTTAAAGGTAAAAGGTAAAGGTATTCACCATTGCCAAGTTGCCAAGTTATGTCTGACCGTCAGGGTCGGTGCTCATCTCCGTTCCTAAGCAAAAGAGCCAGCATTGTCAGAGACTACTCTGTGATCCTGGGGCCAGCATGATTGCACAGAATGCTGTTTACTTTCCCACCGAAGTGGCACCTATTTCTCTACTTGCATTTGCATGCTTTCGAACTGCAAGGTTGGCAGAAGCTGGGACTAGTGGCAGGAGCTGACCCCATCATACAGCATCCAGGCCTCAAACTGCCAACCTGCCGATCTTGAGATCAACAGAGTCAGCCTCTTAACCACTTGAGCCACTGCATCTCATAACAGATTTAAATGCATCACCCTTTGCTCCAGATCTTCCTCGAAGGTCTGGAGCCCTGACTTCCAACACCAGGCTGCTGTTGGAAATGTGACCGAAGCTGGGTGCCTCGTTCTGACCTTAGAGTGATGTGACCTGTCATGGCAGTGGATGTGCCAGGAGGCTCAGTGGGACGCATGTGCCATCAGCTGCCTGGCATCAAAGTGGAGGGCCTTTGCAATGAGGGAGGGTCAGGGCAACTCCAGAGCCAGGACTCACCAGTGCAGACAGGACTTAGGATGGGTTGTTCATAGAATCATAGAACCAAGGGCCATCCAATCCAACTCCCTTCTGCCATGCAGGAAGACACAACAATGGCACTCCCTGTGACGGATGGCCATCCAACCTCTGCTTAAAAACCTCCAAAGAAGAAGGAGACCCCACCGCTCTCCGAGACAGGAGGGTCTTTCACTGCTGAACAGCTCTTACTGTCAGAAAAGTCTTCCTAATTTTTTGGTGGAATCTATTCTTATTCTTATTATTATTATTAGCTTTATTTATTAAGCGCCGTAGATGTACACGGCGCTGTACAAAACCAAATAAAATCCAGAATATATAAAAAGCCTGCCTGTGGCGTACAATCTAAAAGTAAAACAACAAATTAAAACATCATAAAAAACAAGTGAAAACATCAAATATCAACATTAGGTCACACATCAGGAACAACCAGATCATGATTACAGACTCTCTGGGAACGCTTCCCTAAACAGTGTGGTCTTCAACTCGGCTTTGAAGCTGGTTAAG